CTCCTGCCTCAGCCTCCCAAGTAGCTGGGATTACAGGCACCCACCACCACGGCCAGCTAATTTTTGTCTTTTTAGTAGAGACAGGGTTTCATCATGTTGGTCAGGCTGGTGTTGAACTCCTGACCTCAGCTGATCCAACTGCCTCGGCCACCCAAAGTGCTAGAATGACAGGCATGAGCCACCGCGCCCAGCCACCTCTTTTTTCCTCCATTTACTTCTCCGCAAAATTTGTCGCGGCCAGTTTCATCCTTCAGAAATGTGTTTTCGCCAAATCGTAAATTTTAACTGCTCAAATTTAAAGGTTTTCATTCACCTTTTGTGAATGCATGCCAAAACGTAAATGATTTATGTTTAAAAATTTGACTGAAGTTACATTTGTTATAACTGCATTTAAAGTATGTGACCTTCCTTTAACTAGTGCCTGTGAGTTTTGTAATGTGCTTCAGAAAATATGTTGGTATTTTAAGATATCGCGTTTTATATGTTACGCAAACAGTACTATATATTTTTACGGACTTATTTCCATGTCTGCTTTATTTGCTATCATTTCAAACTTATGAAAATTATTGATGCTGCAGTCATAACGAATTTGCAGTGAATTTCGCGTTTAAAAATATATGTCTGAAGGCAAATCATGCAAGATCGTTCTCGCACGTTATTCTTCTGCTGTAAAAGAGAGAGACATTATGCTTATGAAATTTTCATGGACATGTAAAGTAAATTTGACGTCAAATTCCACAAGAATAGAGTAGACAAATTCAAAGATTAAACTAATGAAGGAATCAAATCTCTATGATTTTGGAATTTCCATAAGAACATGAAATGTTAAGCATGAGAACTACTATATCGTTTTTAGAAGATAAAATAAGAACTTAGAATAAATGCAATAAATGAGAGAAATTTGTATGATTAACTTACGAAATATTGTGCAAAAATGACGACGTACTTAGCTCTCAACTTTTCATTAAAATTAAAGTGGTGAAACTTTTCGTCTTTCATCAGTAGAGGATTGAAAGATGACAATGATGCCTTCAATTCGTGGTATTATTACTAACTGTTGCTATTTCAGTTACTGTGAAATACTTCTGTTATATTTTGAAAATACATTGAGAGATGAACTACTATGATCTGTGAATTCTGACTTCATCAAGGTTCATCGTCAAATGAAAATCACTGAAAAAATACGAAATAATGGATCATTTGCCAACCATGAATTTTTAACTTGAGTCCAGTGTGGCTTTTCTGGTACATGTTTCTTGGGAGACCATCGAACTAATTAGAAACGTTCTAATTAATGCAAATTGGAAAGGAGAGAGCTCTGCACTCATGTAGATAAATTAGCACGCAGGTGCATGACATGTACACAATTATGAATAGTACGATTTGCTCTTGGCAGATCATTTAATTCATCTTTGAATTCATTTCCTGAAAATTCCGGAGAATTTTTCATTGCTTATATTACTGACAGAAATCTGTAACTTGGAAATGCGCATCCATATGAAAATACATATGCAAAAAATGCTTTTATAAAATTCTGCTGATTAGCTCACAAGCCAAGTTTGTTACTATTTCTCAGTCACAGCTTAGTCTAGTTCAGATAATTTATTATTTCCATTGCTGACAGTTCCTCTTATAAATAATTTTTTTTTTTTTTTTGAAAATGTCATTTAATAGAGAACAATATAATGTATAGTCCTTGCATTGATGCTGTTGTTGTTGTTTCAAAAAAGTAAAACTAGCACAAATATGCAAATTTTTCATCATAGGTGAAAGGTTTTTGTAACCTTTTATTACGCGCATTTATTAAAAATGAATGCGTGTCGATTTTATTGAGATTTTGGAAACTTGTAATAGAAAAAAACTAAACAAGTGTGAAGTAACAATGGAAAAGGGAAATTTTTTCTAAGTTCAAAAAAGTGAGAAATATCTAGTAAATATATTATATTAACAATAGCATCACCGGTAGTTTACTCCGGGAATACAAATTTCAGAAAAGTTGGTTATTTGATTTTTAGAAACACATTGTAAAAAGTGAATAAAATTTTTCTGCATTATTTACTATTCGTCCCATTTTACTCTCCCTGTTAAAACAGAAATAAATTTCCTCTTCACTTAAAACGTCTCCCTCAACTTCTCATCCTTTCATTCAATATTACTGCTATGTTTAACTCCTACAACCAACATTGCTAATGCAATCTCATTGTGAGTTATACTTATGCGAGGTGAGAAAATCTATTATTGACTAGTGACTAGTAAATTGGTACCAAAGTGATACCTGATATGTCATCTCCAAGGTATATATCATCCCTTACAGTATCACTCTACTCTTGAAAGAATAAAACATCTTCCATTTGAACTTCTGTAACTGCGCATTATGTTCAAATATTACAGCACCATATGTTTTCAAACAGTGAATGACAGCTTAATGCAATTACAGAATTATATAAATGGCGACAACTTATATAAGTAATTGTGGCGATATTTTCGGAAGTTTCTGTCAATCATTATTAATTAATCAATTTACTTGAGATTAATTATAATGAATGAAGAAGTCTGACAAGCATAATGAAGTTGATCCGACTTTGTGTTCTTTTCATCAGTTTTCATCATTGCAGCGCGTATCATTTCAATATTATTTTAATATTATTTGTCTGAAGGTTACATTTTCTAATAAAAAGTAATATGCGCAGATGGAATGTCACCATGGCCCGATCATGGCCTATTCATTTTTTTAACATAAATACTTTCTGCAATAAGTTATCCTCACCTTTGTTCATCCGCGAACAGATATCAAGAAAAATTCAACAACTAATTTAGAACCTTTCTAAGCACATGGTTTTGCTGGAATGATGCATTCTCTTGATGTTCTCTTTCAATTTTCAATTTCTTAATTGAAAATGAATCCATGATTTATTTATTATATTTTCAGTGTCAAACTGTTAATTTCATAATGGCACATTTGCTTTCTGTTCTTTTTTGACGTTTTCAAAATCGTCTTAAATTTTTTCCATTCTACATCATAAAATGAATGACTTTCATCTCTCATCTCATCACTCATCGATCATTTTTTTTGTTTATTCTTTATCTAAAATAGATCACTGAACTGCCGAAGAATTCTGCTCTATTGAAATATGTAATTGGACACCTTTCTATATGTAAAAAATCTTCAAGATTCAGATGACATGAACTTATTTCGATAAACAAAATTTCTGTTCTGATAGGACTGTATGTCACCAGAAAAATCCTTAAAAGTATGCGTACTAATCGATCAATTCGCCAAATAAGTAAATAAAAACATTAAGTATTAAACCTATCTTGGACTAGTTTTCTCACCTTTCCATTGCACTACCTTATATGATGTAAAGTTTCAAAAAGCATCTGTAAGCTATGACTTGGATTAGATTTTAAATTTTAAAGGGAAAGATGTTCGTGGAACAATGTAATTAGTAAGGTGCTTGCAAATGTATATTTCCTCTTGCTAAAAAATGAAGAGTTGATTAATCGAATGATGGTTCAATGGCAATAGTGCCGTTGGACCTTTCATTGGACGTTAGTTTTCTATTCCTTTAGTCCTGTACCATTCATGTAGCTATTGCCATTTTAGCGCTTGACTGAATTACTATTCCATTAATCTTCATTAGAATTGCGCCTGAATCCCACAGGTTATAACCAGAAGCGGATTGAATATTTTGGCTTATTCTGATATATTTATCACTAATTTGAGTACTATACTGAACATTTTTCCTATGTCATCCATTAAATTCACCAGCTGTTCACTGCCTCCACTATTTTTAAACAGAAAACGTTGAACAAACTCTGTCGAAAAAGTCTTAACTATTGACTGTTGCCAGCTTTTAAGACTGCAACATTTCCCATTTCAATGAAACATTCTGCTAAAAATTTCGATAGCATCGTTTGATGTTTTTCGATAATGTAATAATTTGAAATAATTCAACTTGAATAACTCCATTTACCTGTTTGCATTTAGCATGCTTATCATGGACAACTTATGTCTGCTTATTCGATAATAAAAGCAGAGTTTTTGTCTATCGAATCATCTAATACAGCATGATTCAAGTATTACTTGCTTCTATGAAATTTTTATATGGAATGGGTAGTTGAGAAACAAGGAGAAGGATTGTTCTGGCAAAGAAAATTTTGTGAATTTATATATGCAATTCATGCAGTTGCCTAAAAATATCAATTTGTTTTGATGATTTGCTCAGTAACAACAAAGGGGAAAAAAGAAATAAAAATAAAAACTATTCCAAGCCAATTAAAAATTTAAAATTTGTTTACAAATTATTTTACGTGCAACATTGCCCTACTCTGAAATAGGATCACTTTCAATTTTCCCTTTTTTCTTAGTAATTTTTAACATGACTTA